CCAACAGCGGTGCAGTCAGTCGTATTGCCGTAGCAGGTGCAGACACCAGGACAGCCTGTGACCGAACCCAGAAGTCCCAGCAGAACCAACGCCAGAGCGGACAGAGCCACGCAGACTGGAAGACACGAGAAACGAAGAATAACAGCGTCTTTTACACTAAAACTATCAGTACATATTTTAGAAACATTTAAACCTCATGCATTAACTCTAGGAAGCTATATTCAGTTTGATGTTGTAAACTTGCAAGCCTACTTCCCTCAGTTCACCTAAATTTGCTTTTTAATGAATCATGGTAGATTTTCCTCTGTTAGAAGCAGATCACTGCAGATTAATTCCTGCAGCGATTCATGTTGACGTCTCAGTCACCAGCGCTGGAGTCTCTCAGGTTTGTCGGCACACTTAATTTTAGCTTTCTGGTAGGTAAACTATACATTATATTTAGGTGAAGATATAGGTTTTGTATAGTATATGAATTGGACTCACCCAGTCTCTCCAGATGACTTCGTCCATACTGGTGCTGGTTCTTCATGTCTGCCACATCAAATCCACTGAAGCCTCAGGCTGCCATCCAGCTGTTCTTTCTCTCGGCCGGGTCACGCAAACTTTCAGCTTTGGAGAGTGTCCTGAAAAAAAATGTACATGCAGAGATAAACATGAATATGTCAAACACTGAGTTGCAAATTGTTCCCCAATGTGAACTATTATTGAGATCTTTTACAAAAAATAGTTGCAAATATTATTAATCAGCACAAGACTGTAGCCTAAAGGATAAGGTACATAATTAGTTTCATAAACACAAAAAAGATATTTTATGATATGAGTAAAACAGTATAAGTAAAAGTTATAATACTACCATTAATACTGTATAATGTTTAGTTTCAAAATGTACTTAAAGAACTTAACGTAACTTAAGTTCATAAGAATTTCTTTAATGGTGAAACATGAAGATGAACTAAATCTTTACAATAAATAGTTTAACAAGTCTGATATTTCCATCCAAAAGTAAAGTAAAAGTGCAAAGAAATACTGGAGTATAAGTATGTTCTAAAACTCCGTTTTTGCATTTACGTGTGGACGAGAAAAAC